GAGCACTTTGTGCTGGTCAATTCTCAAGTCTTCAATTAGAGTCACTCAATTCTTCCGTAAGAATCTGAATAAAGGAAGATATAAAATAGAAATGATTTGCATTATTTGGAATGTCAACTTAAATTCAACATATAGATTGAAGAATGATATAGATACATACAGAAATACAAAATGTCTTGTGAGTTTTACTAAGCTGAGTATTTTATTTCTAACACTAGCAACTCTTTGGAAATAATATTTTCATCAAAGTCAAAGGATATACTTGCATCATTCATAACTCACTTTTGAAAACCTATTTGGAGCAATACTTCTAGACTTAAATGCACATATGGGGATCTTATCTTGTTAAAACGCCAGTTTGAATTCAGTAGGTCTGGGCAGGGGCCTGAAAATTTTCGTTTCTCTTACTCTCCTAGAGGATGATTATGTTGTTTGTCTGTGGACCACTTTTTGAGTAGCAAGGCGCAATGAAATATTTACTTTTGTTCTAAAATTAAATCATCAACCAAACATTTTCTAAATCATCAGTGAAATAAAGGGATTGAGTATGGTTTACCAGTATATCTCTTGAGAGATTGTCTTTCTTGCATTTATTAAAACCATACAAAGATTTCTCTTTTGTGAATGCCAGAATGAATGGATAAGAGGAGGTTGCTATTTTGTATTGCTTAATTCACCTGATTAGTCCAAAGTAATTGTGATTATTTTGTTAACTCACTAACTTAAAAGATGAAAGCAGAATACTAAAGATTTCCAGGTTGCAGCTTTTCTTCTTACTTTCAAGTGAAATACTAGAAATGCCCTCCTTCCTCTTCATTCTCCTTTCTTTTGTTTTGTTAAAATGTTTGCTAGAGTTATTTACCAATCTTCCTCAGATGTCTTTTTTTGGAGAGGGTAATTATTGTAGGATTATTCCAGGACTTTGATAATGGGGAGAGGCATCTCTAGCAGAGGACAGACTTGGGGGACAAATACAGCCCAACTTCTGTTTGCCTGCTCTTTTAATAAACTCTTGTGTTTTCTCTTGGTATTGCATGCCATGGGCATCTGTAAAATTTGGGGACTCTGCTGCGTGTATTCTCCATGCAAAAACAGAAAAAATAGCAACTGGGATGAAACTGCCCTTCAATAATGGGGTGCAAGGCAAAAACTGTGGTAAGGGCCTACCTAGCTAAAAACAATACACAGGTCTAGCTAAAAATAATGATAATAATTAGTAACTGTCCCCCTGTAATTGCCACTCCGGAGCCACCCAGTTGGTATCCATAAAGATTCTTAACTTTCTCCGTAGATAACATCACCTTTTCAGAACTTAAAGGTAGTTTTCAAGATACCTTCCAGGCCCCGCATTCCCGTGGATGGATTGGCCCACCCAGACCAGTGGCCCAGACCAAGAAACTGACTCAACTGGAATTGTGACCTCAGGAACTGGAGCAACACAGGAAGATGATTTCCACACCCCTACAATTCTGCCCCAATTAACGAACCTAATCACCTAATCCCCTGCCTGCTAAATCATCCTTAAAAACTCTGTCTCCCAAATTCTTGGGGGAGGCGGATTCGAGAAATGTCTCCTGTCTCACCGCTTAGCGCTATGCAGAATAAAGACTCTTTCTCCATTGCAATCCTGCCTGTCTTAGTACATCGGCTCGTTTTTTGTGCAGCTGGCAATGCAACCCGGTTGGGTGGCAACGGGAATTGTTCTGTAATTCTGTCTGCAATTATATGAATGATTCAATTAGACAGAGGAGAAGGAAGCCCAAATTTGACTCTAGATCCAAGCCGGGTTTTCCGATTCAACCTAACTATGGGTTACTGCCCTTTGGGCAATAGAGCAATCCTCATTTGTTTCCTGTGTCTACTGCCAAATAGTTACACCAGTAGTTGGGGGAAAATTGTGGTAATTTTTCTTATTTTAACTCTCCAAAACTTTTCCTCTGGGTACATTTTCTCTCAATTTCCCGCTCCTCATCATATTCTATTAACTCCTCAGCTTCTCTTCATTTGAAGGACTCTAAGTTTCTCTTACTGTGAAACATTTATAGTCCCTTTTAACCTACATGTTGAGGGTACACGTGAGAAAATTCTTTGTTCTTGAATGAAGCTTAAAAGCAATGAGTGAAAGAATCGTCCTAAATCTGGACTATAAAAGAATACAAAAGGGGCTGGGCGTGGTGGGAGGATTGCTTGAGCTCATGGAGACTAGCTTGAGCAAGGGTGAGATCCTGTCTCTATAAAAATAGAAAAATTAGCCAGGTGTGGTGGCGTGTGCTTGTAATCCCAGCTACTCGGGAGGGTGGGGTGAGGCTGAGGCAGGAGGATCGCTTGAGCCCAGGAATTTGAGGTTGCTGTGAGCTAGGCTGTCGCCACAACACTCTAGCCCAGGTAACAGAGTGAGACTCCGTCTCAAAAAAAAAAAAGGAAAAATTGGCTCATAAAATTAGCGTAATTCAGTGATTTGGGGAGAATGGTAGTACAGGTAGCTGTCTCTCAATGGTAAAACAAGAAAATCACTGATGGCTGTGTGCTTAATTATGTTAAATTGAAATTTAAGTTTTGCTATATACACTGTAATGAACATTTGGCAAAGTGCTCCAAGAGAAGTAGTACATACTTCAAACTTCCAGAGAGTTCAACCCAGACATCGCCTTAGGAAAAATAAAACAGAAATAGTCTATTATAAATCGACAAGCTGTTTAACAAATTATACTTAGGAATACTTTCCCTAAATGGCTAAAAATCACCCACCCTCTTTAAGTAACCTGTTTTAGAATTTTTCTTGGAATTATTACTAAACTCAACATTTAAGTTTATTTGACATCTATGTTTTCCCCCATTCAACTATCTGGATAACCTTTGCCTGGATTTATTTTTGGGCTCCCCTATTTTCCATGATTTCAGATATTTATGTTGATTTTATATATGTGCCCATTATCTGATAACTCTGGAACATAAATTGTCCACAACACAGAAACTAGATTATAGGCTCCATGAGGTCAGCCGTGTCTTTGTGCTCCTTATTTTAACCTAGCCATAGTAGGCACTGAATCCATTTAGAATCTATACACACACATCATTCTAAAATATTTGATATGTATCTTTTTTTTCCTGAGATTTGAATAGAGGTAAGAAACCATTTTCATCTTCTTAGATAATAGGTATAGGGTAGGAAACTAAAAAAAAAATTCTCATGGTACCGTATTTATATTATTAGTAGCTGCAGAATTAATATATTGACAGTCATATAGAAGTTCAATTAGTGAAAATACAAGGAGGTTTATTCTTAGCTGTTGTTGATATTTTAGGGAGAGCACAGAGTAGCCTTCTTTATCTGTGGAATCCAGAGGCAAACATAATAATTAGAGATAATGGGGATAGTGGTGTGGTTGATAATTCTTCCCAACTTCCCAGAAGGTAAAATCTTTTATTTGTTGTTTTCCTAAAAATCATATCTTTCAAAAGTATATCCAATGGCAGGACATAAATCATTGTTATACTTGTTCAGCTACAGTTTAAAAATGGAAAATTTTCATTGAAAATTATCAACAAATTTTGAATTGAAATTTGATGTAGAAAACAACAAAATTATCAGGGAA